CTACAGCTGAATCTCCAGCTTTAGTTTCCTTTGCATTTCCACAGCAAGGAACCTAAGTGGTCACTCAGTTGAGCCAGACCATGAAAATTATACATTGCTAACAGGATGGCAAGCTGGCTAATGTGATTAGATGCTTGTCTTTGGCCCAGTTTCCTATGGCTGGGGCAGAGGAATATGTAGACTACTGCCACTCAGAAGGGGAATGTGATTGGGGTAGTTAATGAGAGCCATGTTCCCTGTTGTCTTATATATCTCACTGCTAGTTCTGGGCTGCCTGAACACATGGTCATGCTCCTTTCATTCCCACTTTCTGTATTTTCTTTTCCCCCTAGTTTAGCCCCAAACACACAACAGAATTTGAGAAGGAAATATAGTTTTGTTTCTCTTGCCAATTCATTACATTTTTACTGAGTGATTATAATAGGCAAGGCAACAACAAACTGATTTTATTGTAATAGAACTCACATTATCCATGTATATTCTACATAGAAGTAAGGGATAAAGAAGTAGATTAACAAGCGTTTTAGATTAATTTTAGATTAGTTATTAAAAAAGGAGCTTTCTGAGGAGATGGCATTTGAACTGAAAATTGTGTTGTCTTACACATTGCTGGTATAAAATATATGACACCCACAACTTAAAGCAGGGATGGCTTATTTTGGCCTACAGTTTTACAAGTTTTAGTTTGTGGTTGGTTCACAGGCAAAAAAACATGATGACCTGGGGCATGGTGGAGGAAAGTTTGACTCATGGCACTTGGGAAACAAAGAGCAAAGGAAGGGGACCAGATATAGTACCCAAGACCACAACCCCTGTGGCCCACTTATATGCCGGAAATGTGCTTTACTAGTCTCTTAGGGTTCCCTTAAGCCACTCAAGTTGATAAGCAAGTGTAACTATCATAATTTAGTTATTCATTTTAGTGTCAATAGTTTTAAATTCTTAAATCTGGTCAGTTTTTTGCAGTATTTTGTAAACAGTTTCTAGAAATGTTTAGTTATTTGTAAGTCTTTAGACTGTGGGCTTATTAATCTTATTTCTAAATTGTCTGTGGAAAAAGTTCTCATTTTTCCTCACAAAGGTTTTAAAAATAACAGATATTCTGTTATTGTATGTATGGTTTTTAAAATTATTTTCAATAGAGATTTTAAGAATATGCATGTGTTTATTTTGGAAAATTGATAGAAGATAATGTTTCGTGTTTCACAAGGGTCTCTTTTCTATCAGACCAAAACTAAAAGTTTTAAAAATTCTAATTTTAAACTTAAAGTTTAAAATTTTAAACTAAAAGTTTAAAATTCTAATGCTTATGGCTAAACACGTAGACTTAGTTACTAGAGAAATGACTTGAATACATACATATTTTAGATATAATCTTATGGTTAAATGATATTAGTGACATTTCAGTATTTGATTAGCTTAGAGTTTGCAAAGTCTTATAACTGAGCCAACTGGGAACTTTAAATATGTTCCTTGTGAAGCTGGCAGGTCATGTAAATAGACTATCTGAAGAGGAATACTATAGACAATAATGTTTTTTCTTTCTCACTGGTTAAAGTTTTAATTAAAGAGAATCAATGAGAATAGTATCTTAAGTTACATAACCTTCCTTCTGAGGTGATTTCAATCCCATACATTTTATAATAGATATAATTTACATACTGTATTTGACTCCAAAATACAGTTTTTGTTTTTCAGTAATTTACTCAGGGCCCACTTCTTTCCAAAAGAGAATTATAGTGGTCACAGTGTGTTTTAAAATGTCTAACAAAAGATGATCTACTGAACAAGCTTTGTTATAATTAGGAGTTTGAGTAAAAATATTAAGTCTTTAAGGATCATATTACAGAGAGAGGCATTTAATAATTTGAAAGCATGGGGAAAATGCTTCAGATATGTGTGTATTAGATGAACAATACTTTAAAACAAACTGAAGTATACAATAAAATGTCAGCTATGTTAACTATCTTAACTATGGTTATCATCTTGGCATGGTAAACTTATGTGTATCTTTTATATATATACTTGTATATTTGCACTTTTTCTGTTCTGCTTCTTCTCTATTTGATACCCAGGAAAAATTTTTATATCAAAACAACTATCATTTACTCAGGTAAGAAAGAGCGGGCTTAAAGACATTTTGTGTTTTAAGGTTACTGAATTGAATATTGTGTAATACTGGCCCACAGTGTGTTCTGGTCGCCAACATAGATTTGTAATCTTAGGCTGCTTTAATAGATAAAAATATAACAATCGGAAAAAGAAATAAGAAGTGTACAGAATTTGTGCAAATTCTGCTTTCTTCTCTTCCTCTTTCTCTTACCTGCAAGCTGTAGTTTTTGTCTTTCAAGAATTTATTAGCAGAGTTTAGACATTCTCATTCCTTTTCTGTTGTTTCCTTTTCTTTGCTCTCTTCCTTGCATCTTTTTTCTATGATCTGTCTCTGCCTCCGCCTGTCTGTCTGTCTCTATTTGTCTCTGTCTCTGTCTCTCACTTTCTCCCTCCTTCCGTCTCCCTTTCTGACTCCCTTCTCCTCACGCCCCCTTGCCTAAAAAAAGCTGTATTATCTGAGCAGAGGAAGAAAGGAAAAATGTGAAAATGGGACTCTGGAATCTAAGTTGTGAGATCTGAAACACCTAGTCAGTGCATTCTGTTTAGTTTATAGTATTTTAACAGAATAATTGGGGTTCTTAAATAATTTATGGTACCTGAAATTTTGATGGCACCTGACCAGAAACCTTAAATGGCAAACCTTCAAATATATGTGAGTCAGGTTCTGATCTACTAATAATGTGAATTATCTAAAGAGCCTAAGGTTCTGATTCAGGGTAACTGGGAGCTAAGAGTTGGACACAGTGATTTAGCCAACTCCTAACCAGAGTACGTGGACAGCAGAGCAGTACAGGTGCTCTTCAAAGGAACCTCTGATTCAGATGACAGTACTGCAAGTAGCAGCCAGTGACTGTCTGTCTTCTGTTTTTTCTCACTCAGGGACCCTGGGTGTAGGCAAATGCTTTTTTTGATAGATCCTTCATAGGAAAATACTTCTTAGTTTGTAAAGCTCTTAGAGATTTGTTTTGTGACTTACAAGAACAATGTTGAAGAAAGCAGAGCCAGGGGAAAAATATACACCATTGTGGTAGAACATGATGAAAATGAAGTGAATCATGCAATAGAGTGAGTAATGATGAGTAAAGTAGTCACACTGTATTCAGGTCAAGGAGGTAGTGTTGGAGTGTGTGGCTCCTTAGCAGGGGCTTCTGCTCAGAAAAATAATACTAGTGGAGCAGACAACAATTCTGACAGCATGTTCAGAAACAAAGATTATTATGGAAACAAAGATCGCCAGCCTTTGTGAGGTCAATGTTCAACTTAATCGTTAGGAGTAGCCTGCTACTGAGAAATAACCATGTTCATCGCTACAGCCTATAATGCCTGCAAAGACACACTCCAAGTGTGTACTCCTAGTGCTTTGTCAAGACAGTGTAAGTCCTTGGAAATGATATTGCCCATTTGTGCGACTTATTAGTAAAGGAACTCAATGGCGAGGTGAACACTGAAGATTATATACTTTTTATGTTTTCTCTCAAGTTCTGCCTTAATGGTTAGTTCCTTGTGCAGTGCTTAAATAATGATCTCTGCAGATCAGTCCACATTTTGGTTGTTGTGTTTTAGATTGTCACGTGCATTCATCATCTAACATTGTGGACATGCCCTGAGAAGCGTGTCATTAGGCAGTTTCATTGCGTCAGTACCATAAATCTGCTTGTACAAAGCTAGAAGACTTAAGTCATTTACTTGACCTCTTGGTATAGTCAGGAGACTCAATAAGATCATGGTACATGGTTGGTGCTGGTGCTTACAACACATTCTATAGTAAAGTTTTCTTTTGTAAGTATGAAAAGTGTACTGTAACAATAAAAGTATAATGTAGTAAATGCATAAATCAGGGGCATAGTTCGTTATATTAGGTACTGTACATAATTTTATGTGCTATGCTTTCATATGGCTGGCAATGGATTAGGTTTGTTTACACCAGCAGCAGTGTGAATATGTGAGTAATCAGTTATGCTTTGTCGTTAAGATCGTGTTGTCATAGACATTTTTAGTCCCATAATCTTTTGAGACCATTGTTACACATGTGGCCTATTGCTGGCTCTGGATACACAAGTTATACATAAGAACATATACAAAGAAAATGAAGGGTCTTGAAGGCAAGAGTGATTCAAAAGGTGATATAGGGTTGACTAAGGTATAATAGATACACTGTATGCATGTTATCATTGGTGCCCAATTCTGATACTTTTCAGAAGTGCTCAGCTAAGTTGAAATAGGAACAATGTTCACCAGGGTTACTTGAAGAGATTTTATTTTATTTTTTAAAAAGAAAAGATGCTACTGTGCTTCTGCAGATTTTTTAATAGTGATGAGCAAAAATGTAATTCCTTCCTCTTACCTGGAGAATTTGGAGAATCTTTATAAAATTTCCTGGAAGCTTAAATTATCATCTCTATCAGCTAGATTGCTGTAGCAGAACCCAGGGTTGCAACTAGATTGTAAATTTCTCTGAAAATTCCTTTATAATACATCTAAAATGAATGAGAATGTATGCTGATATTGAAAATTAGGAGAGAGGGAGGAAAAGAAAGGGAGAGAGGAGAGAGAGAGAGAGACACAGAGAGAGACAGAGAGAGAATTTTGTTTTACTTATTGGGTTAGGAAATCCCGATTCTGGTGAGGATTTCCTAACCCAATAAGTAAAACAAAATCTTGGGGAAACATTTCTAAGATCTCTTTTATTTATACTTTATCTTTTCTCTTGTTACCTTTTCCTTTCATTTCTTTTTCTGGCTTTTGTGGCATTATTACTGTTTTTGTTGTTATCAATTTCTGAGTAGTTTTTTGATGAATGATTAGTCCTTAGTACCTGCCTTTTAAATTTGATCATAAACCTTCAGAGATGTACTGAAAAAATATCAATGTAATTTTAACAACCACAGATATCAGGAGGCAATTCAGAAGTGGGATGAAGCACTGCAGTTAACGCCGAATGATGCCACCCTCTATGAGATGAAATCACAGGTAATAATTATGAAGAATTGCATTTTCATCATGAAATTATGCTGTGTTTGGGGATAATGAGCCAAAATAATGTTATGTCCTATTTTCTTTTTCAAATACAATTTATTTAAAACATTTTTTGCCTTGTTATTTATGCTTCTGCCTCATGCCCCAAATTAGAAACTCACTTTCCTTCAGGATGGACTTATCTTGTGTTTCAACCTGTGATGTCAGCAGATGAGTATCTTCTAAAAAGCTACTATTGTGCTCTTAAATAAATGAAAAACATCTGCTTTCCTTCTCAGTTAATTGTAGTAGCAGTAGCTCATTTTTCTTCAAAAGGAGAATGGCTTAGATTTTGGATGAAATTTCTCCAAAACTGCCGTAGACCTTAGAAGGTTAGAATAGATGCAACTTAAAAAATAACATTTATGTTTAAGAATGCATTTCTGATATTTTAGGGGAAAGTCCATAAAGAAAACCTGTAGGTACATGACATAGATTTTCTAAGAGACTTTAAAGTCTCAAATAGAGCACTAAACATATTAGGCTTGATCTGCATATCTACCAAATATTTTTCAGTTGATGGTCTCTAACCTGAGATACATGCTTTGTTAGTTTTGATTTTACTTTTATCCTTTATCCAGGAAAAATCAAATAAATTAGGTCCACTGAAGCAAGTATTATTTGAATTCTTTTAAATTTTAATTTTAAAATATGTGTGTATCAAGGCAGGATTTACAGCAAAACACATTAAGGGTTTAATTTGGAACCTGATAGGGAGTTTCTGTCAAAAGTGTTCTGAAATGTTAATGATCTCAATTATTATAAGTAATATCTAGCCCTTTCCCATGGACTTAAGTGGAGAGTGCTCTAACTTTTTGATTTTTCTGGTTTGTGTGACTTGAAAAGCCCAGTTGTGAGGAAGTCTGTAAAATGCTTAAATAGTCTTTGTAGAAGAGAGTTGTTCAGTAGGTGCAGGATGACTTGAGTTAGTTTACCTAGTTTAACAATAGAGTTGGAGTTTGTTAAAAACTACACTGTAAGAAAAATAAATAAAAGTGGAGATCAAATAACACTGTGCTACCATAGTAGGAATAAGACCACTTGATTTTGACTAGATGGCAAAGTTCAATAACTGGGAAAGGAATAGTTTATATTTTTCAGGTTATTTTGGGATTGAAAAGAGGCCCTAAAATTCCTGACTCTGAATGACAAAAGAGGAGGTAAAAACCACTGAAATGCTATATTTGCCAGACTAAAATAAATTTTGAAAACGAAAAAGTCTTTGTTTATATATGGTTATCCATATGTGTGTGTGTGTGTATATATATATATATATATATATATATATGTACATATACGAAATTATTGATAACTTTCTTTTTCTTTTTCGTTTATAGGTCCTGATGTCTCTTCATGAAATGTTCCCAGCAGTACATGCAGCTGAAATGGCTGTCCAGCAAAACCCCCACTCGTGGGAGTCTTGGCAAACCTTGGGACGTGCGCAGCTTGGATTAGGAGAGATAGTCCTGGTAAGGAGGTTGGATTATTGTAATGCTGCAATTTTAAGTTGATTCTGACATGTTATTAGCTAAGTCAAAGGTGAATAGAAAATTATCCATAAACACAGATGTAAGCTGCTACTGAATATCTTTTTATGATTCCAAGCACCAGTTATTTCAGGAGGCAAGTATATTTTTTATTTGACATTATGAAAGCTAAAAAGTAAAAGTTTAACGTAAAGTATGGTAAGCTGTGTTTGGACAGTAAGCCACTTTTAGTTTTGTTCTTTGGATCATTAAGTTTACCACACTGAGAAGAGTGCCTGGTGCAGTGTGGGATTGGCAGCAGGTGTGCATACCCCTTCCCGCGCTCACCGCAGCACTGTGTTCCTGTTGTGGCCAGTCCCCCACCTCCTCTTTGATGTGGATGGCCTGCTTGTGGACACCAAATGGCTGTATGTAGTGGTGTTTCTAAAACCACCTGTCACCAAGGAAAGAAGCACAGTTGGGTTGTCCAGACACTAGTGATGGGTAAAAAGGCATTAAAAGTACTCAGATCATAATAGACATCATGTAACAGTGTATCAGTGTCCACAGAGTTGCTGGCAGAAGAGAGCCAAAGCAAGTTACAAGAGCCATTTCCCACTGCTGTGCTTATACCAAGTGTTGAAAAACTGATCTGCTGCCTGTGGAAGCACAAAGTCCTCTTTGAATTACCAGCAGCTTGGGGAATACGTCCTTTGAGATACAGACAAACAGGTGCAAGAAGTTCTTCAATTTGTTCATCCACATGTTGATAAAGAGCGAAAAACCAACCTAGCTGTCTTCCTCACCTGTTCTTCCTCCTCTACTCCTCGCACAGTGCTTTGTCTTTGAAGATGCTTTCAGCAGAGTAGAGAGGGCCCTAGCAGCTGGGATGCAAGTTGTTATGATTTACTGTGAAAACCTGAGGCACAAATCGATGACCAAGTCCACTCTGTAGTGCCGAGTTCATGTAGAATCTGCTGTTGAGCTGTTTGGTTTGCTTCCCTACTAGTAAGGTCCAGGCTCTTCCATGCTTCTCTGGGCCTTCTTCATGACCCATATTGCTGAGGGGTGGGAGGGGTGAAGGCCACCAACAGTTCCCACTTGCAGCCTGAATCATCACTGAAGCCTTTTGAAGCTGGACTTCTATCTTTTTCCATGTTGCCTTAGACCACTCTCTCACAAGCCCTGATGGCTCTTCACTTGACAGCTGAAAAAACACCAGTGGAAGCCTATCAGAGCCAGAACCCAGCTTTGCCCTCTAAACTCTGAATCGGGAAGCTGATGCAGTACACAGAAGGGAATGATACTGCACATGTGTATACCATAACATGAATATACACGTGCGTGTCATGTGTATATGTGTGAATGTATATTTATACTTAAGAATATACTTGTTTATTGTTATATGAAATTATATTTCTGCTTATTTCTTTTTATTTTAGTTTTTCTGAATATTGATATGTAAAAAATTATACATATATGAATATGCTTTTATTATGTGTATATGTGTGTGTGCATAAATTAATGCATTGCTTAGCTGTCTTCAGTGTTGATGGCAGCATAAAACTGTAGCTGGTAGATGAGATGGTGATTCTCCTCATTTTGAAACCTGAGTCAGGAAAACCTTGGTATTGATGAAACTTAAGAAATAATTCTCCAGAGTAGCTGTCTTTAAAATAATTTTTGTGTCCTCAAAATATCTCAGATATCTTAACTCAGGGACTCTTCTGAATTGCATGTATGAGCAGTAATGGAACCTTGTGTAGCATGTGTCTTGTATTTACATTTTTATCCACATTGGAGAATATTTTCTGCCTTAGAAAAAACTATTTTTCTCTTTTAAGAATGTTGGTTTTCTACCTTTTTAAATAAAAAAAATGGAATTTTTCTTTTTAAATTACTACTTGAAGGGACACAGAGCCACCAAACATTTTTAGGATAATCAGCCATCACAGTTTTGTGATCAGCTCCTTTTGTAGATTTATTCTGCCTTGATAGGTTGTCAGAAAGCTTTAAAATGATGAAAAAGGAGCATTTCTCAGTTCTGCCTTAACACACCCTTCCAGGTGCCTCTGCCGTTTCTTACGTTTCAGCTGTGTAAGTTGTAGATAAAAGCATAACAGTACATGTGGTTGTCTGAGAGAATGACTGGGTTTACCCAGCTGTCAAGTTTTGCCTCAAATTAGTGAAATCACCTCAGCATGCCTGATTACCTGTGTTTTCTGCCCTTTGATTTCCCCTTCAAACCAACTATATCATATTACTGCTTCCCTACATTAATTGGGTTGAATAAAGTTCTTTGTACATGTTTGTGTAAAACAAAGTTTGCTACATTATAAATTGGTAACAATGGTAGAGATAAACCACCGATAGATATTGTAAAGGAAGACAGTAGAATATGGGGAATAATGGTGATATTTAGACTGAACAGTTATTGGCTTAGTGAGGGGAGTATGGGAATGGGCAGACGTTTATGAGAATGAGATATTTGTTGTATAAAGTTTCCTATAAATGGTAATAAGAGAATCTCTCATGTCTGAACTCTACCTTATTGGTAACAAAGGCTAGACAGGTGAGAACTGTCTTGTTATTTTGGGAGGACCATACATGCCTGACAGTTAACAAAACAAGTTCATAAAAAGCATTTTCAAATGTAATATAGCAGTTCCGAATTACTTCTTTGTAACTGATAAATTATTTATGACTTGACAGATTACTTCTTTGTTGTTGAATTGATGAGTTTGTGATTTTATTGGTCTTGTACACTTAAAAATAAAACACATTTTGAAGTTTTTTTGAAGGCTCAATTAGTGGTAAATCTTAATTTTAACATTACTGATAATAGTTTGGTAAATTGTACATTTTTTGGCATCCTCATAATTATTTTTACTTCCAAAAAATGGTGCTTGGAAAATTTTTACAAATAATACATAAGAAGTTTTCATGGAAAAACAATTGTTTGGACTAAAACATTGTGAAAACGATAATTTGAAATGATGTTTTAGTATGATAGAAATTAGTTTAACCAAAGGCCATTTTCTTTTCCTGCCATTAGCATTGTCCTCTTCTCTCTTTTTACCTGAAGACTTAAGTCAGACCAGAGTTGGGAAAAAAAAAAAAAAAGAAAAGAAAAGAAAGAAACTCAAGGAATTTATTTTTTTAACAGATTAACGAGAGGGGAGGAGACATACCATAAAATTCTGTTTTCTCGTATCTTTCATTAAAAATTTACAGATCATTATCTCTTACTTGTCTGGTATTGGAAAGTCTCTAGGACGTGTATGTTGAGCAATAATTGTCCTTTAAAAAAATACATTGCAGGTGAAACAACAGAGGTACTAATAAAAACAAAATTATTTGATATTTAAAATTTTTTGAATAAGAAAACCATTTGTTCAACTATTTTTTGTTTTTCCGATTCCATTAATATTGTGCAGTTTTAAACAAATTAAAAGTTATTACCAATTTAAATGTAATTTTTAGGGATCTACTTGTAAGTCTAAATTTGTGATTTTTATGTAGATTCAGGCTATTCTATTGAAAGACTGGAGTGGTTAAAAAAAAAAAAAGACTATATATGCAGCTCAGTGTGGAAGTGCAGGCCTGTAACCCAAGCAATCGAGGAGCCTGAGGCAGGTGGATTGCAAGTTCAAGTCCAGCCTGAGCAATTTAGCAACTTATTGATCCCTATCTCAAAGTAAAAAAATTCAGAAGGGGTAGGGATGTGGCTCTAATGTACTTCAATTCCAGGATCTCATTTTCCTGGTTCAATCTCTAGCACAAGAAGAAAAACAAAAGACTTAAAATGTCATAATGAAGGAACACTGAAAAATATATTGAACTCAAGCTAAAAATTTCTAACATTTAACAATTCTTACTGTATAATACATGTATGGATAAAATTGTAAGATACAAGAATAGAAATGAAAAGTAAATTAAAATCAAATATCAAGAGTTAGGTATATTACTTAGATTTTGAGAGTCAATTATACACACTAGAAAATAACTTACAGAAATAATTTGAGAAAGCCAGAGAGAGGAATAGGGAAAGAGAGACTGAAAGTAGGAAGATGAATAAGAAAGCTGCAGAGACTTGTTCTGGAGGTTAAAAAATCTGTATGAAGGAATGAGGTTGCTGAGAAAAGAATAAATAAGGAGAGTGATTCTAGAGAAATTATGAAGTAAAGGCAACTAGAAAAAACAGAACTACCAGGAGAGAACAGCTTTAGGAAGGATGATCCAGTTACCTTCTCATGGTCCTGAGCCTCCAGGGCTGGAACTGGCTTCTAGGCCCCTTTCTCAGTACTGTGTAATTCATTGTCAACTGTAGATTTTCTTTGTGCCAGTATATGACATGCATTAATTTTGTTTGCTAATATTTTCTTTATTTTCCAAGACTCATTATAGTGATATTAATATTCTATGTAAACAAATCTTTTGCTAAAAATTTCATTTATCTCTTTTGGCTCTTTTTCTAGTCCTTTTACAATGGTAATTATTTTTTTAATAATGGGATTTAGTATGATACTTTTTGGACAAAAGGAAGATGGTTCACAAGTGAAAACATTTTCCACCATAAATTAAGGCAAAGTTCTAACTTCGGATGTGTATGTTTGGGTGTACATGTACACAACCATACACACACATATGGCTATCTTAATACTGAGTTTTAGAAACAAAACAAATGAAAACCTATGACTTGTTTTTTTCTAGGCAATTCGAAGTTTCCAGGTAGCCCTTCACATCTATCCAATGAATCCTGAAATATGGGAAGAAGACCTTTCTTGGGCAAGAACACTACAGGAGCAACAGAAGGTAGCACAGAAGATGGAAAAAAGTGAAACTCCATCCGGGGAAACGCACATTTCACCAAAGTCGATTCCTGACTATGACTTTGAAAGCGATGAGATTGTTGCTGTTTGTGCAGCCATTGCTGAAAAACAGAAGACGGTTTCAGCTAATAAAACAATGGTTATTGTGTCAGCTTCTGGGACTGTAGAGACTGTAACTGAGGAAGAAGAGCGTGCCACCCCACCAGACGGCTCTGTGTTTATCAAAGCCCGATGAAGCTGTTTGCATAGTGGAGTTGTCTGTCTTTTTGGTTGGTAATTAATGTTTAAACATAGACACATTTACCCTGAAGAAAGAAAGCAAAACTCCTGTTTGTAAAACACGATTTTCTGATGAGACATATAAAATTAAACAGTAGAATGATTCTGTTTGAAGTATGCTTTGAAAAGTTATGATTTATACTTAAGATTAGAATTCTTAGTAAGATTGTTTTGCCTCATGAACAGTTTAATTTAGATACATGAATGAAAACATTTTAAAGATACAATTTTGAAAAATATGTTCTTCAGTAGTGAACAACTTGATGGCGACTAATTTTAAAATGCTGACAAACTAACTTTTCTGATGAAGTATATGATTACTTTCCCTCCTCCAAATCTGCTGCTTGCTTCTGTGCAGTGTTTCATTTTTGTTGCTCACTAAGCAGCTGTCAGTAAGCTAGGTAAGTCTTCACAATGAATTTCTGGCATTCATTTCGATTCAAAGTTATCATTTGCATATATGTGGAATCTTTGAATGTCTGGTTGAAAATACGTGTATTTTGAACATTTTTTCTCTTTAATTTTAATTTGTACTTTGATTTTGACCTTGAAGTTGTAACAGTGGTATCTGTCTCTAGTATTTGTTAGGTGTGTGGACTACTGATGTCAGAATGATGGTTTTAGTTTTATTCCTTGCTGTGTCCTCACCACAAATGAGTTATTTTTAAGATACAGAATATCTTTTATAAATATGTAATAATAAATTGTAATTCTCCATTGTCCTATTCAAAAGCAGTATTTTTTTTTTTTTACTTTTAAGTGTTTAAAGATCCTGAAGTTACTTATTTCTTGCTTATAACTTTCTAGCCAATGATTTACAATTACTTTTTCAGATAAGTTTTTTGGAACTACTTAGTTACAATTTTAAATAGCTAAATTATATTTTAAAAATTATTATTACAATGCCACTGAGTGAAATATACTATGTAAATGAAACACACATAGAAACTGGAATGTGATTTGTAATATAATCTCATGACTGTGCACAGTCACCTTTATACATACTACCACTGCTAAGGTGAATTATTATTTTTATATTATATATTGTAGTACAATTATTTGGGACTGTTGAGCACTATTATTTCTGACAGTCAAGAAGATGGTATTGGTGTAAAATTAATTTTATGTGTTAGAAATGAAAGCTACTTTGTGTTAAGAAATCTTACCTATCACTGCTGGAGCATGTAAATTAATGGGTTACTTTTGTGATGATAATTTTTTAACATTTTGTTTTGCTAGAATGCTTATACCCCCCACACGAGAAAATCAGCACTTGCCTTAAAAAGTATTATATTTTCCCCCTAAGTTGTATCATCAGAAAGTTAGCCCTGGCTAGACAGGTCAGTTTTAGAGTGATAAAAATGCTATTTTGTTTTATGAGGAATACACTCAAAGGGTGGGGGAGGTATCTAGAGAATCTCTACTATGTTGAGGTTTTTGTTTGTTTTGTTTTGTTTTTTGAGACAGGGTTCACTTTGTAGCCCAGGCTGGCCTCATAGTCACTGTGATCCTCCTGTCTCCGCCTCCTGGGTACTGGGCAGTATTTTTTGTAATGGATTTTTGTGTATTGTGTAATTTGTGAATAAATAAGCGTTTTCCCTCCATTTTAGACTTTCTTATTTTGCATTAGCTTTTTTAAAATTAGGTTTTGGTTTACTTAGTTTCTTCCTTATGTGAAAGTAATGTATAATAAGTATCTTGAATGATTCCTAACACATGAAATGCTGAGTAAATGTCAGCTCTATTTATGAAGAACTTGAATTTGTTTGGAGATACTTAGCTTCACTTTCTTCTGATCTTTAAGAAAGGTAAACTTCATAATCTTTTCCTTGTATGAAAGTGAGAAGTCACTCCTCCTTATATTTTAGGGCAGATGTTTATCATTTGGAGATTTTTCTTGACGTAAGGTCTGTGCTTCAACTTCCAAAGAGGCAGAACCCAGCATGGAGTGTGCGTAACCACTGCACTGTTAAAGAACCTGTTGCTTCTGCTGTATTAGCATTGGTAGGACAAGCTGGTGTCCTTTTTATGTAGATATAAACATAAAATAGTGTAGATGTAAGGTGTAGGAAAGGCACAAGTACCATCATGGCAAAGTGTGATCGGTGAGACAGGAAAGCTCCTAGAAGTCCACCAGACTGCTTAGGTACTCCCAAATGGGAAGGCAAGAAGAGAAACTCATCAGATTCACATCCAGTATTAGGGGACTTTGAGGACCACATCACCTCTTCCCTCCCAGGCCCAGTGTGCCTGTCCTCCTGGGAGGAGATCTAATGACCTGTGGGAGGGAGCCAGCTTGGCAGTGGAGGCCAGGTCACGGAAAAAAGCTGTACCCCTCTCCCTGGAGAACATAGCAGGTGAGATATTTGTAGGCCAGGCCATCAGGAAAATTGAAAGCATGCATAAAGGTGTTTTGAGGGGGCCGAGTGGGCCTTTTGGGAAGCTGAAGACAGGTGTCCAACCCTTATTAGAGAGGGACTTCATTCTGAGTGCCGAGAAGGCTGTAGTTCAGGGGCTAGGTGAAGGGCTATTTTCTGGGGGAAAGGGGGAATCAAATAGGCCCAGAGCAGCAGACATTCTTTCATTCGTCCTCCAAACACTGCAGTGTTTGCACCCATGGGACATCCTACTCATGGCTCACAGCTCATCCTCGGACACCCACATAAAAGCCCCACCAATCCTTGGGCTGCTGATGGCCATGAGACCCGAGGAAGGTGAAAACTTGAGAGTGGCACACTAGGCAACTTTGATCAACTTGCTTGGAGAAGGATTGTGGGAGAGAATACGGACAGCAGCAGAATTTGTCTCGCAAGAAAGGAGCAGGGATCAAGAGAGACCTGGTGGAAACTAGTGAAAACTGTGCAAGAAGTCAGTCACACTGCACTGTCAGTCCTCTAATTATGTAAAGGAGTTGGATATTAGACTACAGTTTTGAAAGTTAAGCCTTTTTGACTATATTGGCTCTGTTGATTCAGGAACAGAGGCTATCTTTTTATTTTCTTAAGGCCTCTTCTTTTTCAGAGTACCATAGTTTTCATTGAAGAGGTCTTTCACTTCCTTGGTTAGGTTAATTATTAGGTATTTTTTCTTGGTTCTATGGTTGAAAGATATTAGTTCCCTAATTTCTTTTTGGTGAGTTTATTGGTGTAAGAAGGCTACTGACTTTTGTGTGTTGACTTTGTATCCTGCCACATTTCCAAATTTTGTTTTTAACTATAGGAGTCTTCTGGTGGACTGTCTTGGGTCTTCTGTATAGAAGATTGTGTTATTTTCAAGTAATACTTAGACTTCTTTTCTTGTATATGTTACTTTTATTTCTTTCTGTTGTCTAGTTGCTCTGGCTAATTTTTGGAAAACTATATTGAACAGCAGTGGCAATTCTTTTTCATTCTGATTTTGGAGAGAAAGCTTTCAGCTTCTTCGTTATTTCATATGATTTTGGCTATTAATTTGTCATAAATGACTGTTATGAGATTGAGATAAGGTCCTTCTAGACTTATTTTCTTCATGTTTTTCTTTTTAATCATAAGTGGATGTTGTCAAAGGTTTTTACTGCATCATTGACATGATCATGTGTTTTTGTCTTAACTTATTTATATGATATATTACATTTATTGATTTGTACTAAAGAGTTTGAGGAATGTGGCATTTGATCTTTTCGTAAGTTCTTGTAGAATTCAGGAGTGAATCCATTGGGATCTAAGAAAACTCCCCCCCCCCAATCACTTCTTGAATCTCATTGCCTGATTATGCAGAGATTTTGTGTCTTACTGGTTCAGCTTTGGTAGTTTATGTATATCTAGGAATCTATCCATTTCATCTGAATTCATTTTATTAGAGTACAGGTTCACTGATGTCCCATGGGCTGATAAAAACAATGTATGTTCTGCTTTTGTTGGGTGGAATACTCTGTAGATATTTATTAACTATTTGTTTCAAGGGTTGGATCACTCATTATGGTTAAATACTCTCTTACTGTGTCTCCTTTTTCTGGTCCTGTTTCTCAAAGTATTACTAATAATTTTCTGTATCTTGACAGAGTCCTTTGTGACCATACCTTTTTCATTTCTAATTGCATTGGATATTTTGTTTTTAATAAGATTGGCTAGAAGACATCATGGTAGCCCACTGTTGAAATTCCGTTGTCTTGTTTTGAAGTCCTGTGCTGCTTGCATTGTTCTGTTCTGATTTGCTTTGTTTTGTTTTTTCTCTATAAAATAAAAAAATTGGCTAAGAGTTTGTCATATTTAAATGTCTATTCTTTCAAAAAACTAGCTCTTTGAATAATTGATTCTTTGTATTGATTTTAATCTCAGTTTCACTGTTTTCTGCTCTGATCTTTATAATTTCCTTCTTTGTACTAGCTTTGGATTTGGATTGTTGTATTTCTGGGGCCCTGTGATGGATCATTAGGTTGTTTATTTGAATTTTCTCTTTTTCTGATGTGTGCAGTCACAGCTATTAACTTTTCTCTTACGATTGCTTTCATTTTGTCCCATAGGTTCTAATATGTTGTACTGGCATTATGATTTGATTCTAGGGAATTTCTAGTTTCTTCTATGACCCAGTATTTGAGGATGTTGTTTAATTTCCATGTGTTTGCATAATGTCTGTGGTATTTTTTCATGATTTGTAGTTTCATTGCACAGTGAACTATTAATATGCATAGATAATTGTGATTCATTTGTATTTTCTTAAGCATGCTTTATGAGCTGGCATATGGTTTATTTTGGAAAAAGTCCCATGTGCTGACAAGAAGCATATATGTTCTGTTGTTGTTGGGTGGAATACTCGGTAGATACCCATTAAATGCATTCAGAGGTTTGCTTCCCTCAGTACAATTAAATACTCTCTCTTGGCATAAGTATCCTTTTCTGGTCCCATTCTTCTGTATAGGACTTGGAAGATAATCATGAGATCATAATTTTACCAACTTGGAGTTAGATTTTGTTGTGGGAGAAGGATATGAGGTGGAGGGAGTAGTCAAAGAAAGTAAATATCATGGCTTGTTTCATTCTGAAACTTGTACAAGTAGTCCTACACTCTGGTTTATACTTAACAGTATAGGCAAGGAAAAAGATTTCAACCTTTTTTTAGTCATCTATTCCACAGTCATTTGTACAACTTTACAACAATGTGATGCAAAGATGGCTTTTTGAAGTGTTATTATTCCTTGCCATGAGACACTGTTCAGACCATTTAGAGAACCTCAGATTTTTTTTATGCAGGAAAGCTCTTATTTGTAGGAGAAATGAATGTTTTGGGCAACATATTTTTCTGCATCAGTATTTGAGCCCCAAAGCATCACTAATAGTAAATAATGTGTCTATATTTTCTGTGGCCCTTTGTGTTTGTAGAAAACCTATGCAAAGGGCTGCTTTTATTTGGGAAAGACTCTTGACCATGTGCTATCCTGGACGAAGCACCTCTTGAATAAAACTGGCCTTCTCTCAACGATCCACCCATTCAGTTAGGTTGTATTGAAGACTATGAGATAGTGTAAAAATTGCCTTCTTATCTACTACATCCTATGTGGACTGATTATGACTCAGTGCCAAACAGGTAAGAAGTTCCTTACATAGAAAAAAATGAGGCTCTCTAAATGGTCTGAACAGTGTCCTACAGCAATAAATAACACCTCAAAAACCATCTTTTCATTACATAGTTGTTAAGTTGTACAAATAATTATGGACTAGATGACTAAGTGGAGTTTATGGAGTTACATTTTTATATATGTCAGTCAACAATAAAGTGGACTGAATTGTATATTCCTTATATTTGTTTGTTGAAGGATAGGAAGGACCAGGACCAGGACCAAGACCAAGACAGAGGGTAGAGGGAGATGCAGGAAGGAATGTGCTCACAGAGAAAAAGCCATTGAGACAGCCATTTGCACACCAAGCAGGGACGCCATCATCCCCCTGATCTTGGATGTCTAGCCTCTGGAACTCTGAGGAAACAAATTTCTGTTATTGAAGCCACCCAGTCGGTGGTGCAGCCTTTGCACACATAATTCAATGTAAAACTGGACACAGGGCTTTAATAAATATTTCTCCAAAGAAGATACACAATTAGCAGGTAAGCATAAGAATAAATTATCAGAATCACTGTTGGAGAAATGCAAATGAAAACCACAGTGAGCTACCACTTCATACTCATAGAATGAATATAATAAAAATACAGGTAATAACAAGTACTGACAAGGACGTGAAAAACTTGAAACCCTTATACAGTGCCTGTGGGAATGTAAAATGGTATAGGAAAAGACTGAGATAACTTCTAAGCATTGAACTTACAGTACTGTATACTCTAGCAATTTACTCTCAGTATGTGCCCAAAAGAATTGGAAATACATCTTTACACAAAAAAGTTACTGGCAGAAATGTTCATAGCAGAATTATTCCCAGTAGCCAAAAAGTGGAAACAACTCATGAACCGTTGAATGTATAAAGAAAATGAGGTATATCCACACCATGAGGAGTTACTCGGCCATCCAAAGAAGAAAGTACTGATTCATTCTGAACATTAGTGCCCTTGAAAACATTCTAAGTGAAAGAAGCTGGACACAAAAACCAACATAGTGTATGATTCATTTATGTAAAATGTCCAGGCAAATCCACAGAGATACAGTGGTTGCCAGGTCCTAGGGGAGAGGAGAATGGGAAGTGATGGCAGATGGGAATGTGCTTTATTGTAGAGATGATGAAAATATCCTGCAATTAGATAGCAATTATAGTTGCACAACTTCATGAACATCCTGAAATATTTTAGTGTGTACACTTTAAAGGATAAGTTTTATAGCAATGGTATGTCAGCTAAGAAAAAATTGAGCCAGATTAGTGTTTCGGACAGTGAATTTAAGTAAAAGTGAATGAGATTATGTTATGAATCTTAAGAGCACTGGCTTGTGAGAGAAGTGCTTGTTTTCCACCTGTGAAACACATTAGCTGTTGTTTCTGTTGCTCATGTTCATGAAGGTAAAATAAAACCCTTCTTCATAAATAAGTACTCTCTGAAAACATTGTATCGTAGGCGTTAGCCAGAGTGGGCAGACCAAGCATTTTAGGAGTTTAAGTTGACCTCCAATGAGAATTACTGTGCCATTAGTCCTGTGAAGATGACAGTCCTATTGTTTGACATCGTCCACAAATATCTCTAAAAACTTGCAAATAGTGAATCATGACTTCATTCTTGCTTGAACTGTGTCTAATACTGGCAGTATCAGCATCACCCAGGAGCTTTTTAGAAATGTGGATATTGTAGACCCACTGAATCAGAAACTGTGTTTTTATAAGCTCTCCAGATGACTCATGTAAGCTACAGTTTGAGGTTCACTGATCTGGAGAAATTAAACTAGGAAAGACCAAAAGTTTATCCTAATTTTTATACAACTATTTAGATACTTTATATGTGCTAATTAAGCATACTATTGTCTCTCCCCACACTCACACAAACTGGTGACCTTGAGTATGCTCGATTCCCTATGAAGTGGGTCCAAGGCTTTGTATGATGCTTCCAACTTTAATGATAATTTGAAATTATCTCTCTCAAAATAATGTTTAAAAATATTTTGATTTAAAAGGATATAGAAGATTCCTGAAACAAAAATCACACCAGTTTTCCAAAATTGAGGATATGAATCTCAGTTTGAATGCATTTATTTATTATAATTTCCAAAATAATTTCAGTTGGCACAACTTCTTAAAACTGTATCAATAGTAGGCTCAGAATTTAATCACAACCAAGCAATTCACAAAAATACTTTAAGCAACAAAACATGCTTAATATTTCTTTGAGAAAGATTCTTGGAATATGTGAATGGCGTCACTGGGTATCACACAAAACAGAAAGTGACTTTTACGTGCCTAAGTTCTGCACATTTACACTGTTAAACTTGACACAGATGAAAGGCAAATTTAACCACATCTGATATCCTTCTGTATCTCAAAATAAATGTCTTTATGGTACAATTTGTCCTTCTATTAAATTTTAAAAATATTCTAGGTTATTCCTAGGCAAACAAAAGTATGCACAATTTCATGGGGGAAAACACACTGCCTTGACTTTTTTATTTTTATATTATACATTTCAATTATGTGTAAAGACTTTTAAAAATTTATGTTATATTTTAAAAGTAACAATTAGTGGGGGCAATAGTTGAAAATATTTACCAACATGTTAGGTTCTTTTGAAATCATATTTCTGGGTAAATGTGATGTCATTAAAATTTTTTACTATTATACATGGCTTGGAAAGAACTATAATAGTTTGGGCTATAATTTTCACATCTTAAATGATATTTGTCTTTATTCTTGTCATATTAAACTTTTAAAAATTCTATTTTATAGATATTAGTTTCACTGTGGATCTTCAACACCGCAGCCTGAACTTGTATATGAAAAATAAATCTAACGCCTGCAACTTCAGCTGTTTACACTGGGAGAAGAGGAGTTACCATAACTTTATTATACCTTGTATTAACAATAAACCTTCTCACAGAGAAGAAAATACTTTAAATATCTTAAATATTTACAACAATAAAAATTCACATTTCATGCTTCAGTGAGACACTTAGCTCGCCATAAGGTAGCCCTCAGAGACTACTGTATCTGGGCCTCTTTGGGATGCCAGATACACAGCTTTCGATGTCATGAAAATAGCATGCTCCTGCCATTTTCCTATCCAGGAGAGAAACCAAAAGTGGCTTTTCCCACCCATCAAGTCATGACTGTAACCCTGTGTTACAGCAGGGTGTCATCCAAAGTGCTTAGACCTCAGGACTCAACGTGAGATAACCTGAGTGTCTGAAAAATGCTCAGGAGCTCCTGTGTTCTCTACATGAGCCATAAGATGAAGGTAGCACTTCTGAGCACAGCTAACTGCTTCACTTCGTGTCTATTGCACAGGATTTTATAGAGTTCCAGAAACAGTGCAGTATATCTTTTCCTTGACTACTATATACACTTTTCAGATAAGTTCCGTGTTTCACTGGGGAATGTGACTTGCAGTGAGCTCCCCTTAGGGGCAGACCCATCCCTGTTCCTCCCACTGACCTCATCTACCAGTAAGACAGTCTCCGAGTCGTGGCCCTGCGAGGAGTCCGAAGTCTCTGATACGCGCAAAGTTCTCAGTGAGGTGGTTTCTTCTTGGGCCTGGCCCATGCTAGGCACACCTGGAAGCAAATTCCTGCCTCCCAGACTGTTTTCACTGAGTTCTGGCAGGTAAAGGAGGGTCTGAGATGTGCTGCTGATCTCCTTCAGCTCCCGAGAGAAGAAAGAACGAGAGTGGTTGGATGTGGCTGAAGAGGTCCTCCGGCTCTCAGAGCAGTGTTGTCCTGAGCGGTCTCTGCGGGACCCGCCAATGCGGCAGAAGAGGCATTTGATCTTCTCTATTGCTTTACTGAGCACTGTTTTTCTCAGAAGTATGTATATCCAAGGGTCTAGGATGGGGTTCACAGAAGCAATGCGGATGGCCTGCAAGTCTGGGTTTCTGCTGACTTCTCGCACCACACTTGGCTGATACAACTGGTTGATGAACACTCGTACCTGCAAAATGAGATGCCCACAATTAGATCTTATAATTAAGCAATTGGGAAAACACTTAAATGCTGCTTCTACCTTAGCAGCATTAAGAAGCCCACTGTCTTTTCTGATAATAAATGCCAAGGGAAGAGCAGCTTACACAAGCCTCAGAAAAACCAATAACTGCAAAAATATAATTACATGTGTGCTTTGAATTAGTATAATACTAGATATTTTTATTATTATGAATATCATTCTTAGACCAAAGGTAATACACAAAAATGCAGTGTATTTACAGGTAACCTATGAGTAAAGTTTCCTGAGAAGCATTTTATTAATTTCACCTCTTTGAGTGTTTTTAAATTTTTATAGTTCTAATAAAGTTATCTTTTCCCCCAAAGTCACTAAATTTCCCTTTTTTTAAACAGCCAATTTATATAGTAATGATACTCATTTTGTATGTCAATAAACCATTAAGTACTACAAAAAGCTGAGGTTTTTTTTAGTGTTAATAAAATACACCGTAGACTTTTGAACCAACATCAGGATCTCCTATTATCCAGAATGACTAGAGTATCTTCATTTTCTGTCTAACTTGCTTTCCCAGGTATGATTGTCTAATATTATTAATTGTTTCTTTAGCCAAAACCTCCAATCCTTTCCCTCTAACTGCATTTCACACTCGAAGATCATATTGCAGCAGCCACAAAAACAGCCTTTCCACCTGCTATACCTGCCCACTCTGTTTCTGCACCATCTCATAAATAAGATGGTTTCTAAAATACTTATCTAATTAAGGTACTCAGCGACTAAAAACCTTTACAAAGTCCCAGCTGCTTGCAGACGATAGTTTTGTTCATTTTCCAGGCAGCATTCAACTGCTATTTGGTGACTCTATCCTGAAACTCCAATCAGAATCAACTTCTCCTTTCGACTTGTATAGCCTCTGAGTCATGCAGTCATCAAGTGCTCAAAGAGCACTGCAAACAGACCAATTGGGATGGTATTTACAGTGCAGTTTGAGCTATTAAGGCAAGAACTATGCCTGCTGTACTGCTGTGGGCCAGACGACATAAATGAAAGATGCAAGAACATCCTAACAAGCTGTTTGCTATTTTGGATTATTAGTTTTGACAGTTTAAAAATTTGCTTAATTACCATCGTTTATTTGCTTATATCTTTTCATGTATTTCATCATTTAGCAATAAGCACTTATTGAGTTTTAGGCATTATGATAGGTTCTAGGGACAAAAAAATGGCATTAAATGTCAAATTTCTTGAAGGCAAGGATGAGTACAAATGGATAGGACAGGAAGGACAGGAACACAGACCAACTATTACTGCACAGTGATGAAATGAAATGGGAGAGGGGTGTGCAAGGCGGTCTGCCAAGACCAGGAGGCCAAGCAACAGAAGATGCTTCCTAAGGAGCGGAAGCTATCACTAAGCTTTGATGGCTAAGTGTGAGTTCACTAAATCTAGAAGGAAGGAAATAACATTTTTAAGTCACGGAGGAATTAAATATGCCAACTTCCAGAAAGATGAAATAATTTATTCAAAAGGCATGAACTAGTGAAACTTAAGGAAAACAATAATTTTATTCTTTCAAGAAGAAAACACCTGTTAAATATATACTCTTCTAAGTTTTTTCATTATATTAGAAACATTTGTATTAAAATTGTACCTGTAACTCAGGTAAAAGAGGCTTTAAGATCATTGCCATCTGTCTATATTCATTATTTAGTAGTTATTACTTGATTTGCTAATTATTTTAGACTATGGAGAAATAAGTGAGGCTCACAGCCAGGGAAGACAAATAAAAAGGTAAAAGAAGTCACAAAAGCATAATTGGAACTTGTATCTATTAATAGGAAGCAAACATGTCTCACAACATAGAGCATATAATTAATGATTTATGATGTATAAATGTTATGGTTTCTGTCTAGATGTTTCCCAAAGCCTCATGTGGTCATAAGAGGTCTTCTTTAGATGTGGCTGGATCTAGTTGACACTGGGACTGATTAATGTCAAAATGCTAGGATCAAGGGCACAAGAATTAAGGGTGTAAGTGCTGCCCGCCCCAAGTAACCTGGATAAAACATAAGGAATAGAGAGTTATGGTTGGGGCTGGGGATTTAGCTCAGCGGCATAAGTGCCTGCCTTGAAAGCAGGCAGTTATGAGTTCGATCCCCGGTACCGGTAAAAATGAAAAAGAAAAATAAATAAAGAAAGAGTTATGGTCATCCCTTGTTGCTTTGTTACCTTCTGCCTGCCATGAAATGTTTTTTCTCTGTTATGTCTGTCTGCCTCACCACCCTGCCTTGGAGGAGCCGATCATTGACTAAAACCTCTGCAAACTGTGAGCGTCATAAACCTTCCCTGCTTTAACTTTGCTCTCAGGTATTTTGTCTCAGCAATGGGAAAAGTAACTAAGACAACAAATTCCAGGAAAAGGTTGAGACATTTTAGAAAAATTTATAACAATTTGCATAAAAGAAGAAAATTCCAAATGATCAAATGAAGTGCCATTAATCTGCAAAATCCAATTTATATGAAACACTTCTGGATGATGTTGGAACAATGACATATAACTGAATTCCTATCTCTTCCTTAGATCTTATCTATTACAAGTCTACTGATTTGTCATCAAGAAAATTTTGCTTTTCAGTTGTTATTTTGTTGTTTTTCATTTGTTTTGTTTTAGACACTGACTTGGTTGTAAAACCTAACCTAACTTGGCATCAAAACCTGAGCTGAAGCTAAGCTTGGTCACAAACCTGTTATCCCAGCACTCTGAGAGGTGGAGACAGGAAGACTGCAAAGTCAAGGCAACTTAGCAATTTCGTGAAACCCTGTCTCAAAAGGGAATGAGTGTGTCTGGGAATGCAGCTCACTGGGAAGGTCCTGGGTTCAGTCCCAAACAAACAACAAAAAACACCCTCCAACCTTGATGCTATTTATAGTTTTATTCTTTCCACTTACAGTGAATGCATTTCCATTTTTCTCCAGAGCATTGTTCCACTAGGAATACGACATACTCTATGGTATATTAATAATTAATTTTCTAAAATCCAAGAAATTATGAATTTTGAGTCTAGCCCTATAACTCCCTAAAAATTTTAGCTAAAGATTATGGGCCTATAAATCTCATAGAATGGTCAAAAGGCTCTGAGTGAGATAAAAATCTGTGTGTGTGTGTGTGTGTGTGTGTGTGTGTGTGACCGATAACTGAACTCAGGACTTTGCACACCCTAGGCAAGCATTCTATCACCAAGTTCCAACCCAGCACTGTTCTTTTTTCCTTTGGAAACAGGCCCTTGCTAACTTGCCCACACTGACCTCAAACTTCAATCCGCCTGCTTCAGCTTCCTGGAAATTAACATTTTGACCTTGGGAAGAGAGCTGAAGAATGTACTAGAATTACCAGTAGTCTATGAAGTTTCCTCTTAAAATAATGTTTAGAGACAAAGCTGGAATAAATAATAATATCAAGCCAAAACATGGTTGATTTTTAAAAAAAATCTACCTAAGAAACTAGAAAAATAAGACATTTCTTTCTTTTTCATAAATTGTTTGAGGTTCTCTGTTAATCTAGGAACTAAGTTCCCTCAAGATGTGTTTGTAACTGAGACCTGGAGGTTTCCAAAATCTTTCAAGGATTCTTTGCTATTGATGGTTGAGTCTGGTCTGCCCAGGTTCCAGAGGAACTCTATGGCTTTTGTTTTTCTTGATTTTTTTCTTTTTGTTATACAAGGATGGATTTATTTTAAGAATTATTTACCAACAATGGAATTACTCATAAAATATGAGGTTGATTTTAAAAAAAATTCATATCCCATGTTATGTTTCAAAGAGTAAAAGATATGATGGATTTAAATCCGTTAGTATAATATACTCAGGCCTTTTGCAGGGCTTGTGTGAACTTGACACCCCAGGCCTTTAGGTGGCAGTGTTGCTCCACGTGGGAGTCTAGTACCACAGTCCTTCCGTAAGTAACGTTTGGCACAACCATTTTAGTTTCAGACCAGAAACTTGCTTAAATTTGAACTGTGCATTTCTAAGATTTTTAACATTGACATATTTTGTTACTGGTTGATACTCCACCACAACTTCAAAGGTTACTACTAAGAAGAAGAGAATTTTTGAACAGTTAAAATGTTGAGTTTTGTAGCCATTTAAAGGAATGTATTACAATCACCTGTGGGCCTTACTTCATCCACAGCTGTAATTAATTTTGACTACTAGAAAAGGGAATGAAAAGAGATTGTAATGAACAATGCTCCACTTAAGGTCTGTGGGGTAAAATCTATTTTTAGTTAATAATTAGTAGGGTATGAGCTATAGAACTTGGCCATTTAATTGTCTTGTTGGTAAAGGGGAGTTCACAGGGTAGCAGAAAGATGCGTAAAAACACCAAATTCTAAATTCAGGTGAAAATATTCTCAAAAGTTGATCAGGTTGTTTGAAAAGAGTCAACATGAATGATTTTTACTATTCTTAATAGTGATGAACTTCAAATAGAGAAAGCAAAAAAGACAAAAATGAATGGAAACTCCATGCATTTTGTCAAGTTTGGTTAAGGACAGCGATCTGTAAAAAACAAAAACAAAAAAAAGGACAGTGATCTGTGGTGTGAAGGCTGCTGGATTTCCTCTCCTTGAAGAGGGAGAAGCCTAGATGAAGGGGAATACCCCCAGCACTATTTCAGTGTCACGTGGGGATGTGAAAAGACTATCTGAAACTTTTGGCCACAGAGCCTACATGCTACACAAATGAACAAGCTGAGGCAAGTCTCAGTCTTGGCCCAGAACCTCTGAGTCAGAGGGGGAAATCCTTAAAAATTTTACCAAATACAGACAACACTTCTTCCCATTTTGGGGAAGTCTGTTTGTGGTAGTTGCAGATTTGGGCAGGTGACTTGTCTTTAAACTTGGTGTAATATTACAATATTCTAAATTTTTTGAGATTAAGATTCAGGAGCATTAGACTGTACTGTGTGAATGAGTCAATAAATTCACAAGAGGGTGTGTGACAGGAAAGTTACAAGAAAGGCTGTAGGTACTAGAAGTGAACACCCAAGCTTTGTAATCAACCTCTATTCAAATCCTGATGGTGCTTCTTATAATTTATGCATAAATTATTTCCTCCACTTTATGCAGTTAACTAGTTTTAGGGGTAGTTTTGTTTTGTTTTGCTTTTTTGGTTCCTGGGATTGAACTCATGACCTTGCACTTGCCAGGCAGGCACTTGTGCTGCTGAGTGAAATCCCTGGCCCTTATGACTAATTTATTAAAGTACTTAGTGCAGTGCCTGGTATGTAACATATAGATGGGCTCTCATTACTTTTCTTGTGATCCATATATGAAACTTGGCCACAGTGAAATATACCAATAATTTCAAAAGTGAAGGTAAAAAGTAGCTTTGAGGTATGATTGATGACATGGTATTAAAAACATGTACTTTCTACTTAAGAATAATCTGTTTTTAAGGAATGTTGAATTGAAAGAGGAATGTTGGGATCTTGGTTAGATCTATTAAGTAATTGTTAAAATAGTAATGCTTCCCAATAAATTGGAGCATAGGTGCTATTTGTTCTGTTTCAAGCACATATAATAGATAATCTGTGTGTGCTTAATTATGTCACTGGCCTGTGAAGAGCCCAAAACTGACACACCTATTACTAGAAGTTCCTACCACTTTTTTTTTTAAGTGGAGGATGACTAAGTTCTCTATAAGAGACCTAATTTCTTATTTCTTCTGGGTCACTAATTGGCCACTACTGCAAGTGAGTTACTTAATCTTTATTGGTCAATCTCTGTATTGCAAATTGATTTCTAAAGGTTTTTATAAACACTCTCCTTCAACATTGTAATAGGAGACTACAAGAATAATTTCAGTTTTCAAAAAATTGCGAGTAGATGTTCAGTAAAACCAAGTCTTGACATGTCAGCAAAGTATGGTGGAAAGGGCATTGAACTAGGACTGACCGCGGGCAGCCATGATGGCGAAGCATTAGTAAATTCTTCATTTGTGTCTGAGGATATTGAGTTAGAGGGTACCGATCTGCTCTACTTCTTAACTAGTACCTTTTCAAGATTCAAAGGAGACATTACTCTGTAGTCTAAAATTACTACTACTGGGTCTCAAATGCTTTTAAAGAGATGCCTTTAAAGAGATGACTAATATAGTCAACAACCAAAGATACACTCACAGGAAGGTATTTTTCTATGGACTTAAATTTACCTGACCAAGGCAGAAAATTAATCAAACTGGTCATCCTAATCCTAATTAGAGGTGAATATTTGTTAGTTCAGAGTAAAAAAGAAATAACCAGCAAGGAAGGTGGTACTGTCCTGCCTATGCATAGGGAAAATACTTTTCCAAATTTCACAGTATAACCCTGGGGAAAAATATTTGATTATAATTATCATCCTAATATTAATACTATTAGACAGAAATACAAAATTAGGCAGAAAAAAATTGGTCTACTACATCTTTTGAAATTGAGTCTGAGTCAGGCATAGTCCATGCCTATAATCTCAGCTCTTTGTAGGCTAAGGAAGGAGGATCACCATGAGTTTGAGCTGGGCTATATAAGCTAGTTCAAGGCCAGCCTGCACTGCATAGCATGACAGTGTCTCAAAGAAAAAAAACCCCACAAACAAACAAACAGATAAAGGGACCTTAAGAAATCGTCTTGCATGTATTTCTAAAGAATGCAATCTCTTCTTTCTTTAAGCATACTCTTTCACTTCTTTAGTGTCTCTTGTGTTAAAAAAAACCCTTTGACTGGTTATAAATAGAAGAATGGAGAAAACGTCAAGAAATACTTTCCTACCAAATCCTGCCACATGACATAGATTATACTCACTTTTTTGTTCATTGATTCAGAAAATTTTGGAGGTCCAACACTGTTCCTTCTATTTACAAGGAGTTTCCCATATATTTTGGTAACTAAATAAAGTTTACATTTTATAATAAGCTCAGTATCAACCATCACCTCAGAGCCACTGTAGCTTTTTCGTCAAAGACAACGTTGACTGCTTTGTATTGGCTACTTCATTTCCTTCTATATTATGTCAAGGTTTCTGAAATTCTAAGTAAATTATATTTGCTCTAGTAGGTTGCTTTTCCAGAGCATTTTTAATGATTCATAGGGATTGATTTTTCTCAAATGGGATTAGCAACCAGCTTTATTTGATAAAATTAAAATAGATGTTTCATTAGTTTCCTTGGAGCTGAAAATAGTCCTAACTACTTTAAATGTCAGAGAGTTCAGAAGTTTTAATCTTAAATTAAATTACACTATCAATATGAGAAACATGAAAAAGAAAGTTGTAAAAGTAAGCCAAAGATAACTGTAACTGTAGGTAAATTTCCCCTTCGATTCTTTCAGTAACTGCTGGGTTGTGAGTGGGTGAGTTATAGAATGGCCTCATTACTTATCAGTAATTTATGATTAAGTGGATTCAAAACAGATTTTAGTAGCCAAATCTCAAAATTATAAGCCAAAGTTACTACTATGTATATTGATTCTTTACTTCCTACAAAAGTTTGTAAGTTCTTCATTGACAAAATTACTTCTTAGCTGAGCCTGTTTTAATTTTCAGGTTGAGATTACCTAATATCTACCACAATGTATTACCTTTTACAAAGTGGATGGTATATTTTGTTACTTGCAAACCATAGAGAAAGCTCCTACAATTTATTGCTCCTGGGTACTCAAACAATTTCAAAGGGCTTGTCATAAATGGTCTGGTGCTGAGTCTACCATGTCAGTGCATAGGATGAATTAAACTTCTTGTACCTCACTGGATATCTGAGGGTAACACTTCACCTGTGGCTGTGCAGGCATTAATATCTTCATGTGCTCTTCTCCACCCAAAAACACTGAGAGGTATGTGCACCCTGTAACCTCTTACCTCTAATTCCTCAGTCTCTTAAAATGAATGTCCTGTAAGGAACAACCACTCACTAATCTCATTTACTGTTCTATAAAGCACAAGGCAGAGGCCAAGGAACAGAGGCTGCAGAGGAAGTAGAACTCTTACTTCCAAAATCTCACTTGATTGCTATTACAGACAGTGAAATATGTGGCTCAAGTGTGTCTTAACTCTGCAAAAACACATTGGGTCCAATGGCTTAAAGTCTGTTCTGGTCAATCATATTTACTTCTGTTTATACCAACTGGCAAGAAGCTACTGTATGCTGGTGTCAGCCGCCTCTAAGTTCCTTCCAGTTAGAGCCACTTTTAAACAAGATATATTTTTATGTCAGAGATTCCTGGGCAGTATTAATAAAGCAAATAACAGTAATAGCCCACCATCTTTTTTCCTCTTGCTCACAATACACATAAGAAAGGGCAGGTTGTTTGTTTGTTTGTTTTGGTTTTTTGAGTTTGTAGTTTAGAATTTCCCAATGCTGATGGAAAAACTCAGAACCAGTTGCTTTCAACGTGTGCATTAGATAAGAAATTGTATTCATCTGCCCATCCATTTCTGGTGTGTTCCTTCTTAATGACAGGCAAAGTAGAGAACTAGTGGGGATTTGATCCTTTCTATTAATAATACTTTGAAAGTTAGTCTCAAGGCAATTTAAAAGAGGATATTTTCCTAAGGATGAAGTGTACTCAAATACCCACATCCACTGTTACAAAGACCCAAACTACAACCATTCTAGGAGGGAAAATAATCACAGAAGCAGGGTTTGGAGATGGCCCAAAGCCCATATAAACCATAGGACTTTGGTTTGACAATCACTAACAACCATCTGTAAACTTTGGTTTCTCTAGAAGGTACTGTAACTCTCATGGTTTTTGAGAATTTAAGTTCAACCCCCATATACATCAAGCTGCCCATACCTGCCCCCTAAGAAATCTTGCTTTGCTAACCTGCAGAAAGAAAGAATAAACCCATCTATGCCATTACCTGCACATTAAGATGTTTTCCTGGGCCCAGCACAGTATAGATTAGTGAGTCTAACTTGAGAGTCTAGGACTCCTGGACAATTTTAAGCAAGTGAAGTGAAGGAATTAGGCTAGGTTACAAAAAAGAAAGACAAAAAGAAAAACCTCACATCTCTTCTAGCACTAAAATTCCACAAGTCTAAGGTTGCAAAACCCCCACAAAGCCCTGCATAAACGACCCAAGTCTCCATCTCTTGAGGAATGGTTTACAGTGGAGATCACTGACCCCTGATGTAGTGGACAGAGCTAAGTCACTCTATGGTCTGTTTCCCTCCATGCATGACAGAAGAACAGGTGGGTGTTCTCAGAAGACTCACAGCAGATGTCAGGCATTAAGAGGTAGACAGGGGCTGTCCCCGCAGAAAATGGAAGCCAAGCTTTCAGAGGAAAGAAATTTCGCCGCATGTAGGGGGAAAGCTGATGAATCTCACGAGGGTCGGTATTTAGAAAGTGGTTAGGCAGTTCTGGGAAGCACTGTGGGGATTCCAGCCCTGACCCCGAGAAGATTCTGTCCCTGCTAAATAATCAGAGGGAAGGGAGGGCACAGGAGGCTAGAGGTCTTGCAGGGCAAGTGGCAGGAGTGGAGCGGGATGCAGTGGGGCGGGGTGGGGCGAGTGGAATCCAACCCAAGCCACTCACCACGAGCGGGATGGAGCAGATGAGCACCACCAGGGAGGTGGCGATGAGCAAGATGACCATCTGGACCTCTGCACCCGCGATGCGGCGGAAGCTCCGCCGGCGGCGAAAGTCGCTGAAGCGCTGCACAGCTGGGGAGGCACTGGTGTTGCCTCGGCAGGCAGAGGTCATCGCGGCGGCGGCGACCGCGTGGTGCTGCTCTGTGCCCAGCGAGGTGCGGCGCATGAACTGGCGGTGCATGCGGAGCAGCGCGCCGCACACCAGCACGTTGCAGAGCACAGTGGCGAGGATGAGGAAGGAGCTGAATCCCGCGTACATGTAGGAGAAGGCGGCGTACGCTGTCACGTTGGTGGTCCAGTCGATGAAGCACCAGGTGTCCGGGTACTGCCGCCGCGAGCGACCAAGGCCCATGTTGGGCAGCGCGCAGAAAAGCACGTTAGAGGCATACACCGCGAAGAGGGTGAGGCCGGCCAGTCGCTTGTCCACGTAGTGGCTGTAGAAGTAGGCGTGGTTGATGGCCAGGTAGCGCTCTATACTCATGGCACAGATGATGCTAAGGCCAGATAGGCCGAAGAAGAGCAGGATGAAGGTGCTGTAGTCGCATAGCGCTTGGCCCCCGGGCCACTGGCCCTTCATGTAGGTGGCGATTGTCACCGGGCTCACCAGCAAGGTGCCCAGGAGGTCAGTGACAGCCAGCCCGCACACCAGCGTGTAGAAGGTCGTCTCCTTCTGCTCCTTGCGCGACTTGCAGAGCACCACGATGGCCACCAGGTTGCCCACCACCCCGAAGATAAACATCACCGCCGGAATGGTGACTGGGCTGTTCAGCCCGCCCGTGGTGAAGGAGGCAGATGTATTGACCCCAGCGGTGGACATGGTGGTGGCCTCCAGTGCGCAGCCTTGGAGCGCGAGCTCGGGTCTAGAGGCGATGAAAGATAGGGAAAACAGCAGTGAGCAGAAATTACCACTTGCAAGGTGTTAGTCCCTAGAACAATATGCTGATGAGACCAGGGGAATAACTCGATTTTATTTTCCGTAGTGTAGCCACTTACTAACTCTGGCTACCAAAATCCCCAGGCTGCCGCTGCGTCCTGCCAACCTCACCATTCTATTGACATTAATATTTATAAAGCTAACTGCCATTTCCTTCTTCCCCCAATCCGGTTCTCCACTGCCGAGATGAACAGGGCTTGTCTCAAGGGAAAAAGGACTTGCTAGTGTTATTCCCGACACATTCTGAGTCGACACAATTCGCACTGAAAACAAGTTATGGATGGGAATTTGGAAGGCGAGCGCGCTCTCTCCTCTGCGGCGCGCCCGACCACCAGTGCGGTCTAGGGACGACCCCACCAACCCCATCTTACCTGTAGCAGCCACAGGAAGACCAGATCTGTGAGCCCCAAGGGTCGGGGGTCCCAGACCCGTCTCCAACCTGCCTGCAGCCTCGATCCTCTCGGCGTGAAACTTGCCAAGCCTCTGGCTACTCTTCTTAGCGGCCGTCAATTTTCCGGAACTGGGGTCAGAATGGCCAGCTTTCAAAAACTTGGAGAGCGAGAAGGGCAGCGGGATGGACAGTGCAGGCTGACGCTGGGTTTCTTGTTTGACTTTTCCCCCCGACTTCAAAGGCGAGCCCAGCCTTGCGGGGTGGCAGTACCCTTGTGTGCCGCCCGCGAGCAGGTAGAGCGCAGCGGCGACCCGACTGCGGCCGCGGGCTGAGCGGACGGCTACCGGAGCTGGCGGCAGTCACTGGGGCCGCTCCTGGTGCCCTGGGGGCGGCTCGGGGTCCCCTCGGTCTGTGGCTCTGACCTGGGGCTGTGCATCTTCCTCCCTAGCTGCTGGGTTCCCAGCTCCACTCTAGGCTCGTCAGCCTCTGTACAAACTTTTCTTCTCCAGCAAGTTTCGCCGAAGGAGGCGGGGCCAGAGCGCGCGCGGCCCGAGCGCCCATTGGCTGAGCCGGCGGGGGCGGGGCTGGGCGGGGCGGGGGCGGGGCCTGCACTCTGCGGGGCGCTGCAGGCGGCCGCTCTCGCGCCTGCGTCCTCCGAGAGCAGATCGAGCTCTAGGGCGGAGATCTGGGGAACCTCGGGGCGTTCTCGCGCACCCCTTCAGCCACTGCTGGAGTCTGAGCAGCGCTGATACTAGCGTCTCGGCTCTTTCACTTTACTGCCTCCCGAGCGGGCTGTTTTTCACATCTGTTTGCGTCTGAGTCTTGGGACGGGAGGACACAGCTGCCTTAGGACGGGACTCTGGAGGGGCCGAGGAGGGAGGAGAGATGGTGTGTGTGTGTGTGTGTGTGTGTGTGTGTGTGTGTGTGTGTGAGAGAGAGAGAGAGAGAGAGAGAGAGAGAGAGAGAGAGAGTGACAGAGACAGAGTCTGTGGTTGTGTGCGTGCGAGGAGTGTGAGTGTGTGACTGTGTGTGACTGTGAGTGTGAGTGTGTTCGCGCGCGGCACCGCGTGTCGCCAGGTCGGATTTGGAGGACCTGGTGGGTGGATGGGTGGCTGGTACAAGGCCTGGGCGGGGAAACAAGAATCCATCATCTCACCATAAAAGGAAGTAGTTGGCAGTGCCCAGGGTGCAGGCTGCGCTTGGTAAGGGGGCGGGGGGGGGGGAGAAAAGGCGGGGACTGCAGCCTCATCTGGCTCAGGTGGCAGAGCCTTGCGCTTTGCAGAGAGGCGGCCTGCAGGTGTGGGAGCATAGGTGAGGACGGGAGTCCCTCTGCTTTTGCCAGGCTGGGGGGCTTCTCGGACTTGAAGGAAGATAGACTGAGCTTCCTCCTTGAGACTATCAGACTCCACGACTACTCTGAAAGACACCCGGAGGGTGAGAAGGAGTTTGACAGTTGTGAGTAGAGAGGTTCTCCAGGCATCGTCTGGTCTGGTGATCAGCTAGGAAAAACATAGCTGACCAGCTTGGATGATTTGGCTATCTGGAGGGAAGGAGTTTTCCAGTGCACTCTTTATTCACTGTTGTATTCTATTTCTAAAAACGAGAAGTAGAACCTTGACGTTGTAAAATGTCGCATAGTAATTGCCCCCCGCCATCAGTCCTTAAAAAAACTGAATGGCAAGGTTGTGAGGGCATTCACACAATTAAAATTCCTAGAGAAAGCCTTTCGTTTGCAGCACACGTGCATTTTAGCATACTAAATCTAACAGGTTAAGTAGGGAGTTGGATCCTTTTATGTGATAAGCAGGCATTCATTTCATAAGTGTTTTTTCATGACTGAACAAACCTGCTAAAAATGGTTCTCTAGTTAGGCTCAGTGAGTCATAAGGGAATCACAAAGGGCATTCCAGACTTCAGTTTATGACAGGTCATAAAATATCTAGAATCATTCACTTGCATAAGACACCATATAGAGTTAGCATCACTCTGGTCTGTGTACTGTTTCATCATGAATATTAGAAAGAAAAAGAGACTTGCTACTTAGTATAAAAAGAATGGGTGACAGTCATTGCCTCAGTCTTTTTCTTAATCACCACTATAACCACTTCTGCAGCCTTCACTTCCTTTGAATAGTGGCCTCTAGAGTGGTGTCAGCATGCAGTACAAATTGACACTAGAGAAAGGAAACTGCACATTCTGCCCCCGCTCCTTACTAACCACATTACTTTACCATCATTGGAGTCGGTTGGTTGTCAGTAAATACATAGAGGGGAGGGAGGAAGTTCATTATACTCACTTTCTGCAAATACATACTTTTCCCCTATTTTTTTTCCTCTGAAAGTCCCTATCATAGGACAGTTAAGACTCGTATACACATGCATTTTTCATGATGAAGACTATATTAAGCGTCAAAGCTGAAACACACTGCTGAACAAATTAGCTTACACATTTTTAGCAGTCATTGATAAACTGGGCTTTTTATCAATTGAGTTGTTTTGTTTATTAGTCCTTTAATTTTTTCCCAGTAGCTTTAAGGCAGAGGAGTTTCAAACAGGCATGGTGGTGCATGTCTGTAATTCCAGCACGTGGGAGGCTGAGGCAGGAGGATCACTGTGAGTTCAAGGCCAGCCTGCACTACCTAGTGAGACACTGCCTTAAAAAAATAATAAGAGGAGTTTCAACTTCTCAAGTAAAAAACAAGTATGCAAGACCAAGAGTATGTAATAAAATTTGTCTCTATACTCTTTTGGTGCATGATTCTTAAATTTAGTTCTCAGGAATAGAAATTGAAGTTTGGGAAACAATCTTATTTCCAGTTTGAAAAACTGGGACAGTGGAGTTCAGTTTCCCTTACAATCTGCCAGGAACCCACATTGCAAAAGGAAAAGAATTACCACACTTACGTGGGAGAGTCTTGTTATTGTTTGTGTATTTCAACAAAGAGATTTTTATTCTAATCACTGGTTTTTATTCTCCCTTGCAGCTTCTGCCTCAGTGCCTACTTCTTTACACTGAAGGATTCCAGGTTGATTCTTTAGAATGGTCATTAAATCTTCTCTGAAAGTTTAAACTAATCTAAGAAATGCCTGCCTGATCAATTTGATTGCTATGTTATAGTGTTTGGCTACTCTTTCAAGTAAACACGCTAAGGTGGGAACTTAAAACTAAAGGCTGCTACAGGACTACTGACCACATTCATTTAGATGAGTTTGAGTATTCCTTGAATACAGTATGAGACAAACCAAGGTTTCATCCCGCAGGAATAGGGTATAGAAGGGAATGATTCTCGGGAGAAAGGCAGCAAGATGAGTCAGATCAGGTCTGGACCCCTTAACTGAGCTACAGCTGGCAGATCTTAAAGCATTCCTGAAGTGCTAGTGTCCATGTAGCAAAGCCTGTGTGCATTGTGTTTGCTCTTGTAGTTCATGGCAAACTATATGGAGATTCAAAACAGAGTGTAAAAGGCACTTATCTAGTACAAATAGCACAGTACCCTTGGACACATTGGACACATTCGTCGCCCACCCATTCAGGAAGACACATTTGGTTCAGTAGATCAAAGCAGGCCATTCACACGACGCTGGGGATGGAAAGAGGCCCAAGATGTGGCTGTGGCCCTAATGGCGCTCCGCCTGTTCTAGTGGCACATTCCAAATGTGTGGTCTCCTAATTATTTTCATTTTCTAAGCAGTAATTTTATGCTGAGCCTGGTCCCTGGAGTTGTTACACATGTCAGAACTGTGATTAACTCCCTGACATCTTCATGTGGTGATAAATTACTGCTATGGAGGCCGGTTGTCACCAGTGATTACTTCAGGCTGCCTCCTCCTCCGATAATTACACTCCTCCTCGAAGTAATGGCATTTTGTTGTTTTATTTTTCCCTCCTTCTTCTCCAACAGTTCCACTACACCTCAATTATGGATTCAGCCAACGGACAAAGAAAGGAGATTATTTACGTACTGTTGCCCAATTTTGAAAATACAGGTGGAAAGATAAATGTTATTAGGTCAGGACTCTTCTACAGCAGAAAAGACCTTTTGATTAAATTTCATTTTTTTCCCCTTCACACCCAATTGCTGTTTTAACACTTCAAAACACACCTACAAGCACTCTGGCTTAATAAGCAATGCCAGCACCAGCATAGCTCTGTTGATTCATCACTTTCCACAATACTCTCACCCTTGCATTCACATGTGATCTTATTAGCACCTCCATGAGGGTGGTAAGTAGGTATAACAGAGACTGCCATGTCTTACCAGATCCTGTTTCCACTTCCCCTTGAGCACATAGCTGCATGTTGCTCCCAACTGATTTCTTGTGGTTAAGTACAGCCCATGTGACAGGATCCTCATCGATGGAATACACAGGGTAGAAATGATGTGTACCATTTCTAGGCTTGGTCCCCACAAGACCCCAATCCTTTGTGTGTATCTCTCTTTTTCTGCCAAGGCAATGCTATATGGCAGGGGCACTTGATAGCTAAGTAGTGAGCTGGGGTTGTAGCTCAGTGGCACAAGTTCCCTCCTGGTGACCTTGAGATCCTGAGTTCAATTCCCTGTAAACAAACAAACAAAAAACAAAAATATCCTAATAACAACAACAACTTAAAAGTTCATACAAGCCTTTCAGCTAGCTTCTTTTAGTTCTTTGAAAAGAATATTTTGTGCTACTGTTGTTAGGACAGGATATCATGCCTATATCTTATACTCTGAACAACGACTACAAAGATAATACATAATGTATTGACTTGTAATGATCCAACTAACCTGTTTTGAAATTTGGCATCATGGTTATGTTTATCTCTCTTTTCTTTCTCTCTTTTCTATATTTCTTTAAAATAATAAAAATATATTTTTCATACATGTATACATACATACAGGATAGCTAAAATGTGCTACTAATTCTAGTAGTTCATAGAAAGGAGCAGTTAGTGCTTATATTGTTTGATCAATTTTGCATGCCTATATCTGGTAATCTAAGCAACTATTTT